ACAAACATTTCTCTTGGTTTGAGATGGTTTTATGCAAATCCTCCCTACCTGGCCTCACTGAAGGAAGGGTGTACATGGGCTCCTTTGTAATTTGTCCCATGTAAGCATGGTGGTTAGCGCATGTGTTGAGTGGAATATTGCCTCCTTAAAGATGGCAGTTGTAACCTGGGCCCGAGCAGAGTGGGAAATCCAGTAATTCTGACTTTTTTTGCTGCAAGGTGAAACTATTTGTTCCCTAACAGGCGTCTGTGGACTTCCCTGTATATTTAAGCTTTCTGGCCCAACGCACTGATTATATTCCTTCCCTAATGACCTACTCTATTATTGTGCTGAAGTCCCCATTTCCTTTCCCACTCCAGGTGGCTCCATTCTCAGTCTGGGGCACAGAGCGTGCTTGTGTCGCTCCACTACAATGCGTGGGGAATGTTCAGGGCACATTCTCTCCCTTCTGAAGATGCTGGATAAATATTCAACCATGGAATTGAGCTCAGATTGGACAGAAAATTTTTAGGGTATTTTTTTCGTTCTGAATTCTGTTTATAATTATAGAGCCAAGATTAAAACGAATGAATTAGTTGACACAGGATACAAGATACACCAGCCTTCTAACCAAAGTTCTCCCCTGGGTGTAAAGAACATCTGAACAAACTTGTTTGATATTTTCTATTCAACCTGTTCCCAGATTTTTTTATTACATACTTCTGGAGCATGAGAGACTTGAACTCTGGGGCTCAGAGGTTGGGAAACCAGCTCAAGAACCACGACCTAAAATGTGAACCCACTGGACTGTCAGCAGGTGGATGAACTTTCGTAGAATCACAGAATCAGTACAGAGCAGAAAGACTGTTCATCCCATCGAGTTTGCACTGACCCTCTGAAGAGCACTGCACCCAAACGCACCTATGTTTACCATGGCTAGCCCCCACTTAACTTGCACATCCCTGGACACTATTAGGCAATTTTTAGTATGGCTAATCCACCCAACGTGCACACCTTTCGACTGTAGGAGGAAACGGGAACATTCGTGTAAACCTATGCAGACGCGGGGAGATTGTGCAAACTCCACAGAGACTATCCCAATAAGGCTGGATTCTAAGATAGTAGGAACTGCAGATGCTGGAGAATCCGAGACAACAAGGTGCAGGGCTGGATGAACACAGCAGGCCAAGCAGCATCATAGGAGCAGAGAGGCTGACGTTTCGGGCCTAGACCCTTCATCAGAAAAGGGGGAGGGGAAGGGGGTTTTGAAATAAATAGGGAGAGAGTGGGAGGCGGATAGAGGAGAGATTACGAGAGAGTTGCAGTGGGAGAGAGATCCCTTGAGGTTTGTCCGGAGGGAGGAGGGTAACTTCTTCAGGTTAGGCATCCTTAGAAGAGGCTTCGCAGTGGGGTTAAAATCGAATCAGAGATAGTAGGAACTCTATCTATCTCCTCTATCCCTCTTCTATCCGCCTCCCACTCTCTCCCTATTTATTTCAAAACCCCCTTCCCCTCCCCCTTTTCTGATGAAGGGTCTAGGCCCGAAACGTCAGCCTCTCTGCTCCTATGATGCTGCTTGGCCTGCTGTGTTCATCCAGCCCTGCACCTTGTTGTCTCGGATTCTCCAGCATCTGCAGTTCCTACTATCTCGGATGGAAATGTAGATGGGTGCATTAGTAAATTTGCAGATGATATAAAGATCAGTGGAGTTGTAGATAGTGTAGAAGGTTGTCACAGAATACGGTGGGATATAGAAACAGTTGCAGATGTGGATGGAGAAATGGCAGGTGGAGTTTAATCTGGGCAAGTGTGAGGTGTTACAGTTTGGGGTATCAAATGTTAAGGGAAAATAAACCGATAATGGCAGGACAGTCAACAGCATTGATTTACAGAGGGATCTTGAGGTCCTAGTCCGTAACATCCTGAAAGTAGCCATACGTGTAGATAGGGTGGTAAAGAAGGCATATGGCATGCTTGCCTTTATTCGTTTGGGTATTGAGTACAAGAGTCAGGAAGTGATATTGCAGCCTTATAAAACTTTGGTTAGGCCACACTTAGAATATTGCATTCAATTCTGTTTGCCTAGTTACAGGAAGGATATGGAGGCTTTGGAGAGGGTGCAGAAGAGGTTTACCACGATGCTGCCTGGATTAGAGACTATGAACTATAAGGAGAGGCTGGACAAACTAGGGTTGTATTCTCTGGAGTGGCAGAGGCTGAGGGGAGACCTCAGAAGTTTATAAAATTATGAGAGGCATAAATGGGGTTGACAGGTGGTGAACTGTCCTCATGAGTTTGCGCTTCAGTTTCCGATGTTAAACCGTTCTATCAAAGGGTTACCCATTCTCAGCATTCTCCATTTACACAAAATTATATGCCGTAAATCAGAAATAAAAATCAAAAATTCTGGAATACTCAGCACATCTGCCAGAGTCCATGTGTAAACAAACACTACGTATATTGCAGAACTTCACTGTCACTGCACAGACAAGTAATCAGTCTGTTTCTAAATCCATAAATGCCACCAAGCATGCTGCTTAATTGCAACGTTTTCCGTTTAAATTTGGTTAAAGCAGTTTCTTCTGAATTGCACATCAGTTTTATTGCTGATTAGCTTTGTACACCCGTAAGTAGAAATATCATCTACATGTCTATTCTGTCAGAGCCTTTTGGTGGAGATGTTGAATACCAGACTGTGTGGCTGTGGCACTAATGAAGTCAGCTGTACCGCCTCGTGTTCCCTCTCTTTTCAGGGTGGATGCTGAAAGGATATTGACCCTCATGGAAGAGACTAAAACTAGGAATGCAATTTAATTGTAAGTGGCCTTCCATTTAATAGAAGGATGAAGTGATTTCTCCTCTCAAAGTCACAAGTATTGAGAACTCTGTTGTCCAGAATGTGGAGAAGACAGAGTCATTGAATTTGTTTTTAAGGCAACCATAGAAATGTTATGGCACAGAAAGAAGCCACGAGCTCCATCTCGTCTGCGCTGATCAAAAAACTAATTCCACATTATAGCATCTGCTCGATTGCCTTGCAGTTTACAGTGCTCCGTCCAGGTGCAGAGCCAGGTAACTTTTGAATGTACAGAGGGTTTCTGTCACCAATATCAAACCAGGTAGTGAATTCCACACATGCCCAGTCCTCTGGGTGAAAAGGTTGTTCTTCATGTCACCTCTAATCTTCTATGAATCACCTCAAATCAGAGGCCTTTGATCTCCTATTGGGGAAACAGTTACCTGAGAGATCCTTGTTATTGGTCAAGGAGAGAACCAGAATCCAAATACGACAAGAGACAACTAATTAGTAAAGATCACGTGGAATTCAGGGTGAGCTTGCCAGTTGGGTACAAAATTGGCAGTATGGTATGAGACAGAAGGTAGTAATGGAGGGTTGTTTTTCAGACTGGAAGCCTGTGACCAGTGATGTACCACAGGGATCGGTACTGGGTCCACTTTTGTTTATCATTTATATAAATGATTTGGATGAGAATACAGGAGGCACGGTTCATAAGTTTGCAGATGACTCCAAAATTGGTGGTATAGTGGGCAGTGAAGAAGGTTTTTTTAAAATTACAAAGAGATCTTGATTAGATGGGCCAATGAGTGGCAGTGGAGTTTAAATTAGATAAATGTGAATTGCTGCATTTTGGACAAGCAAATCAGGGCAGGACTTATACACTTAATGGTAAAGTCCTGGGGAGTTTTGCTGAACAAAGACCTTGGGGTGCAGGTTCATAGTTCCTTCAAAGTGGAATCCCAGATAGACAGGATAGTGAAGAAGGCATTTGGTATGCTTGCCTTTATTGGTCAGTGCATTGAGTAGAGGAGTTGGGAGGTCATGTTGCAGCTGTACAGGACATTGGTCAGGCCACTTTTGGAATAGTGTGTGCAATTCTGGTCTCCCTGCTATAGGAAGGAAGTTGTGAAACTTGAAAGGGTTCAGCAAAGATTTACAAGGATGTTGCTAGGGTTGGAGCTATCAGGAGAGGCTGAATAGGCTGGGGATATTTTCCCTGGAGCTTAAGAGGCTGAGGGGTGACCTTTATAGAGGTTTACAAAATCATGAGGGGCATGGATAGGGTAAATAGACGAGGTCTTGTGCCTGGTGTGGGGGAATCAAAAACTGGATGGCATAGTTTTAAGGTGAGAGGGGAAAGGTTTAAAAGGGACCTAAGGGGCAACTTTTTCACAATGTAGTGCGTGTGTGGAATAAGCTGCCAGAGGAAATGGTAGAGGCTAGTACAATTACAACATTTAAAAGGCATTTGGATGTGTATACGAATGGAAAGGTTAAGAGGGATGTGGTCAAAATGCTGGCAGATGGGACTAGATTTGTTTTGGATATTTGGTTGGCACGGATGAGTTGGATCAAGGGGTCTGTTTCCATGCTGTACAGCTCTGTGACTCTATGACTTGTACAATTAATGGTAGGGCCCTGGGTAATGTTGAAGAACAGAGAGACCGAGGTGTTCAGGTACATAATTCTTCGAAATTTGCATCACAGGTAGACGGGATGATTAAGAAGGTGTTTAGCACGCTTGCCTTCGTTGCTCAGACCTTTGACTGTAGGAGTTGGGACGTCGTGTTGAGGTTGTGCAGGATGTTGATGAGCCCTCTTCTGGCATACTGTGTGCAGTTCTGGTTGCCCTGTTTAAAGGAAGGATATTAGTAAACTGGAGAGGGTTGGAAAAGATTTGCCAGGATGTAGCCGGGAATGTAAGGTTTGAGATATAAAAATAGACTGGAAAGGCGTAGACTTTTTTGAATGGAGCAAAGGAGATTGAGGGGTGACCTTATTTGAGACCTTATCAGTTAAGGGGTATAGGACAAGGGTCTTGTTTAAAACTAGGGGGCCTATATTTAAGGTGAGAAGAAAAAGCACATGGGGACAACCTTTTTTACAGAGTGATTTGTGGTATAAACTGCCAGAGAAAGTGGTGGATGCAGGTACAGTTACAACATTTAAAAGACACTTGGACAGCGACATGAATAGGAAAGGTTTGCACGGATATGGGCCAAGCACCTGTAGGCGGACCTAGCTTAGTTTGGGAACATGGTTGGCATGGACTAGTAGGACCAAAGGGTCTGTTACCATGCTGTATGACTCTGACTCAGTTTAACTTAATTAGAGAGGGAACGAAAGAAGGAACAAATAGCTCCAGAAGAGAAAACCCGCATGGCCCAGTATGAGATCAGATCGAAATCTACTGGGGTACATTTGTTTTTGATCTGGTCGAATCTGGATTCGTACTGGAGACAATAAAACCGGTTACCCTGTTGTCAGAAATCTGGCAGCAATAGTTTTCATGACTTTCAGCCCGACTCGGATCAGTCCTCACTGAATCTCATACTTTTAATTCACAAGTGTGGGAAGGCATTCACTCACTCATACCGCCTGCTGAGACACCAGCTGCTTTACTCTGAGAGATATTTTAAATGTTCAGATTGTGGAAAATCCTATAAAAGTTACCAAGGACTGATGGCCCAGCGGCTTGCTTACTCTGACGAAAGACCATTTTGGCATTCTTGCAGTGGGTCTAGCCTCAAGGCAATCATCTCAATTCGTTTTTCACCAGCGAGTTCGCTCTGAAGAGAGACTGTTCACCTGCTCCATGTGTGGGAAGGGAATCAGTCAGTCGGCCCACCTGCTGAGACACCAGCAAGCTCAGAAGTAACTACAATGACTGTAGTTTGCTGTTAGTCATATTTGGAATTGAACCTTTTTCATTGGAGTCTGTTTCTGCTGCTGGTAATAAATTTTTAATATTTTAGACAAAAGTCAATAAATCAGCTTTGAGTTAAGTGCACAATGTGTGGAATCTTTTTTAATATTTTTGAGACAGGGTGGTTCCTTTTGGAGAGCTCTCCCTGTCCCCTCTATCCTCCATCCTTCCGTCAACAGCAACTGTAAAATTGTCATGGGGCTTGTTTGTCAGTAATATTCAGACAATCTGATCAGCTGCCTCTGCTACTTCTCCTCACTTTTACTGGTCCAAACCACACCTCATGTTGCTCCTTGTCTCAGCATTGAACTCAAATACTTCTTCATTTTTTGTCTCCTGTCTCTCATCATGTCCTATCAGAGATTATGTAGACCTATTCTCACTTGACTCTGAACTATCCAACTCCCCAAAATCAACCTATACCATTAATGGCTTCGCTCTCTCTGCTTGTTCTTCTTTCTCTTTAAATGTACCAATATACCAATATCAAAAATCCTGAGGGAAAACCACCTTTAACCCCAATGTCACTGAAAAATCCCACTTCATCTCCACCCTCCCTTTCCTCTCCAAAGTCCTTGTTCTTTTACCATCTTGTCCTCTGATGATGTATCATTTGACTTCCTCCTTCTCATCCACATGCTGTCACTAGCTGGCATCATCCAAAAGTACCACAATAGTTTTCGCGTGTGCACTGACAACACCACCATCCCTGTCATTGCCTTCTGTCACTGTTACAAATTCCATTCCCCAGCTACCAAGTCCATCCTGGTCACCAGGAGTATTCTTTCTGCATTTACCTTACCTGGTCCTGTAAGACTTTTCCAAAGATATTAAACCTTTAATAGGAGTAGGCCATTTGGCCCCGCGAATGTGTTCCGCCATCCAGTCGGATTGTGGCTGATTCAACATTTCTCACCTCAATTTTCTTACCCTTTCCCGATAACCCTTGTGTAGAGTCCCAACCTGTTTAGCCTTTGTTCATAAGACAAAACCCCCATACTAGTAATCATTCCAGTGAACTTTCTCTGAACTACCTCCTGTGAAATGATATCCGCCCAAAGGGCCAAAAATTGTTCATAGTACTCTGTATCACACACGGTTCAGTTGCAGTAAGATTTGGCTTCTCTTCTATGTAACTTCCATTGAAACAAGGGACAATATTCCATTAACTTTCTTGATTATCTGCTGTATCTGTGTGCAAACTTTCGATGGGTTTTCTTCATTTAAATAATACTTTTTTTTTGTTGTCCATTCCAAAATGAATTTCATATTTTCCCACCTTGTACCCCATTTGACAACTTTTTGCCTACTTACTTAACCTATAAATTTCTCTCCGTAAACTACATCCTCCTTGGAACTTATCTTTTACTCATTTTCTCTGAAAACCCTCTCATTCTTCTAAATTCCAGTGAATAAATAGAGTCATACGTTTGTACAGCACAGAAACAGACCCTTCGGTCCAACTCGTCCATGCCGACCAGATATCCTAAATTAATCTAGTCCCATTTTCCAGCATTTGGCCCATATGCCTCTTAAAGCCTTTCTATTCATGTGACCATCTGGATTCCTATTTAAATGTTGCAATTGTACAAGCTCCATTTCCTCTGGCAGCTCATTCCATATACACACCACCCTCTGCATGAAAAAGTTGCCCCTTGGTTCCCTTTTCAATCTTTTCCCTCTTACCTTAAACCTATGCCCTCTAATTTTTGACCCAACTACCCCGGGAAAAAGACCTTGGCTATTCACCTTATTTATTCGTGCCCCTCATGGTTATATAAACCTCAATAAGGTCACCCGTCAGCCGCCGACGCTCCAAGGAATGTAGCCCCAGCCTAGTCGGCCTCTCCCCATAGTTCAAGCCCTCCAACCCCGGCACCATTTTTGTAAATCTTTTCTAAATCCTTTCAAGTTTAACAACATCTTTCCTATAGCAGGGAGACCAGATTGAATACAGTATTCCAAAAGTGGCCTAACCAATGTCTCGTACAACCGCAACAAAATATCCCAACTCCTACCTGCACACTATGTGGAAAGGGATTATCTAGTTCGTCAAGACTGGTGAAACACCAATGAATTTCCAAGTTACTGTAGGAGTTGTTTTTTGATGCTCATTATCTATATCCAAACTATGTGTAGAGCTGGATGAACACAGCAGGCCAAGCAGCATCAGAGGAGCAGGAAGGCTGACATTTCAGGCCTACACCGTTCTTCAGAAATGGGGGAGGGGAAGGGGGTTCTGAAATAAATAGGGAGAGAGGGGGAGGTGGATAGAAGATGGATAGAGGAGAAGATAGGTGGAGAGGAGACAGACAGGTCAAAGAGGTGGGCATGAAGCCAGTAAAGATGAGTGTAGGTGGGGAGTTAGGGAGAAGATAGGTCAGTCCAGGGAGGACGGACAGGTCAAGGGGGCGGGATGAGGTTAGTCGGTAGGAGATGGGGGTGGGGCTTGAGGTGGGAGGAGGGGATAGGTGGGAGGAAGGACAGGTTAGGGAGGCAGGGACGAGCTGGGCTGGTTTTGGGATGCAGTAGGGAGAGGGGAGATTTTGAAACTTGTGAAGTCCACATTGATACCATTGGGCTGCAGGGTTCCCAAGCGGAATATGAGTTGCTGTTCCTGCAACCTTCGGGTAGCATCATGGTGGCACTGCACGAGGCCCAGGATGGACATGTCATCTGAGGAACGGGAGGGGGAGTTGAAATGGTTCACGACTGGGAGGTGCAGTTGTTTAGTGCGAACCGAGCGTAGGTGTTCTGCAAAGCGGTCCCCAAGCCTCCGCTTGGTTTTCTGGGCTTGTTTCTGATGATGCCATATGTCCAGTTACCTACTTAGAAGAAAAATAATACAAATCAGCTTTCTGTTAAAACGATTGCGTATCAAGTCTTTATCTTGTCTCTAAGGCAGAACTTTTTCTTCTGAAGGGCTCTCCATCTCCCCAGCATCCTCCATTCTCGACTCCAATAAGTACGTGGAACTCATAGGGTTTCTCTGCTACAAAAAATAAGACAATCAGTATGTTTTGCATGAGCAGTTGGGAGAAAGCACATCCAGAGTGAGGTACAGCGTGTAATGCTGGAAATTAGTGCATCATTGGAATTCTGTGCACAGTGGAAGAAATGCTTTTCCTTTACCCCTTCTTGTTCATGGTCTGTTCATGGCAGATGGGACTGATTTGATTTGACTTATTTTGTCACATGTACGAAGATACAGTGAAAAGTATTGTTTTGCATTTACCCAGGCAAATCATACCTTACATAAGTACATCAGGGTGACAAAACAGAATGCAGAATATAGTGTTACAGCTACAGAGAAGGTGCAGAGAAAAATCAATGTTAATCTTAGAATCCCTACAGTGAAGAAACAGGCCCTTCAGCCCAACAAGTCCACACCAACCACCAGAGCATCCCACCCAGACCCATTCCCCTGATAACCCACCTAATCTACACATCCCTCAACGCTATAGGCAATTTTACATAGCCAATCCACCTAGCCTGCATATCTTTGGACTGTGGGAGGAAACCGGAGCACCTGGAGGAAACCCACACAAACACAGGGAGAACATGCAAACTCCACACAGACAGGCGACTGAGAATGGAATCGAACCCAGGCCCCTGGCGCTGTGAGGCAACAGTGCTAATAACTGAGCCACCGTGCTGCCCCAAAAAATGACAGATCCATAACAATGGGGAAGAAGTTGTTCTTGGTACGTTTTCAAATTTTTGTGTCTTAGGCCCGACGGAAGAAGGTAGCAGAGAATATAATCGGGGTGGGAGGGGTCTTTGATTATGTTGGCTCTTTTCGCGGGGCAGTGGGAAATATAGTCAGAGTCAATTGATGGAAGGCTGGTTTGCGTGACGGTCTGGGCTGTGTTTACAATTCTAAATAACTTTTTGCAGTCAGGCAGAGCAGTTCCTTATCAAGCTGTGATGCAGCCACGTGTATACTTTCTATGGTGCAGCTATAAAAATTATAAATTCTGTGTCTGATGCGACCTTTCCCACTAACATCTGAAGAAGGACGGAGGTTCCGAAACTTGTTATTTCAAATGAACCTGTTGGACTGTAACCTAGTGTTGTGTGATTTCTGACCCTGTCTACCCCCAGTCCAACCTCCACACGTCAAGGCAGCCGCAACAAAGAGACATCAGGACCCTAGCACCTGCTCCAAGGGACAAACACGAAACGCCGGGGACAAGCGGCAACTTAGCCTGGGGCATTATAACGTCACAAAGGAGGCCGTGTAACGTCACCTTTCCGGCTCCTGTGATGCTACTTGGCCTGCTGTGTTCATCCAGCTCTACACCTTGTTATCTCGTGTGATTTGATAGCGGCTTTAGACCAATAGGAAAGGGGTGGGCGAGGCTGGAGGACCTGGTGTGGCGGGGTTTCGGGCGCGATGAGTCCTCCAACCAATCGGAGTGAATGAGGGGCGGGGGAAACGCGCAATGATCGACGCGATTGGAGCTGCAGTGTATGTGCAGTGCGGTCGTGTTCACGGTTTGGGGAGCGCGGTTGGTGAAAGGGAAGGTAAAGGAGGAGTTAACAGGAGCCAGTATAGACTGGAAGGTTTTATAAGCACCCTGTTTAGGCCACCAGATACGCAACGGGACTCTAGGTCCCGGGTTTGCCGCAAACGGGAAAATGGCTGCTGGTCTCAGAATTTGAGAGGCTCGCGTTGTCACTGCCATCTTTATTGGGGGCAATCTTCCGGGGGATGCTTACGTTACCGCCATGTTTGTAAGGGGCACGGTGTCATCAAAGCGCATGCGCAGTCTTCAATTGGCTTGGAGAATTTACAGACACACAGCAAACTCAAATCAACGAGAAATGTACGTTTCTTCTGGGTTTCTATCCTGGAATGACAATGATGGATTTTCTTTTTTTTTTGCAAACTATTTTACAGGATATCAAATGCAAAAGGATTTGCAGACGGGATCTTCAAAAGCAAACATTAGATCAAGATCTAGCAGTCACTCGATTCATGAAAATCTAAATATCGGCGGCTGCTGCGTCTGGAAAGATTAAGGTTTGTCTGTATTTTCTGTTGCTGAGCCAAGAGGTTTCGTAGATCCATCGGCAGAACGGTGACAGTGAAACGGACAGGATGTGAACGAGAACACACACATCAGATGATCACATGTACATAGAAGTAGAATGTGAGAGGTGAATAAGGTGTCAGTATTGTCCTGTCCATGGTTAAGAGAGGAATGGAAGAGACTTTCAGAAACAGTTGAGCCAAGACAGATGCCGTAGTGACATTATCACTGGACCAGCAATCCAGAGATACCCGTAATGTTCTGGAGACCCAGGTTCAAGAGTGGAATTTGAGTTTAGAAAAAGACTGTGAACAATGATCAGTTTTTTTTAAAAAATGTGGTCCAAGAGGAGAATGAAACCATCCTTAGCTGAGACAACAAGGTGCAGAGCTGGATGAACACAGCAGGCCAAGCAGCATCATAGGAGCAGAAAGGCTGACGTTTCGGGCCTAGACCCTTCGTCAGACCCTTAGCTGGTCTGGCTCACAGCATTGACTGTAGATCCCATGAAGTTTCATGGCATCAGGTAAGAAACAGGCAAGCAAATTTCCTGTTGATCATACAATAACGCACCTTGTCCACTGATGATGCGTATTTCTCCATATTAATCACTTGGAGGAAATACTGAGGATGTCATGAGAACAGAATGTACTTCAGCTGAGAGTTAACTGATTACTGTTGATGTACTTGTCGATTATATAGTACATTTGGTTCACTAATGTCCTTCAGGGAAGGAAAACTGGCGTTCTTTGTCTGACTTAAATGTGACTCCAGATTCATACGATTTGCTTGACTCTTAACTACCCTCTGAAATGGCGCAGCAAGCCATTAAAAAGTCTCAACGCAATTAAATTGTATGGATGGCCTGCGTTGCATAAGGTATGGAATCTATGACAGCAAACACAGTCCTGTCTTAGGGCAGCATGATGGCTCAGTTGTTAGCACTGCTGCCTGACAGTGCCAGGGTCCTGGATTCGATTCCACCCTTGGGCGACTGTGCAGACTCCACTTAGACATTCTCCCCGTGTCTGCGCAGGTTTCCTCCGGGTGGTCCAGTTTCCTTCCACAGTCCAAAGATGTGCAGACTAGGCGGATTAGCCATGGGAAATGCAGGGTTACAGGGATAGGGTAGAGGGGCGAGTCTGGATGGGATGCTGTTTGGAGTTTCGGAGTAGAATGTTTGGGCGAATGGCCAGCTTCCATACTGTGGAGATTCGATGAACTTACAAATTTCTCCTTGCCAACATCTGGTTTAATGCCAAAACTGGGACCAACTATCTCACAGACTAGCCAAACAACAGGCTGACGCGTACTCACAGAATCATACCTCACACACAATGCCCCAGACAGCACCACAACTATCCTTGAGTATGTCCCATCAGACAAGCAGATGCAGCGACATAGTGGTATAAAGGGGGGAGGAAGGTCCAGACACCATGAAGTCTCATGGTAGTTTGAGGTCAAACATGGAGAAGGAACTCATGCTGATTTTTCTCTCTCTCTGTCTCTCTCAATTTGAAGGAAGCACTGTGGGTGGCAAGAACATAGAATATTTTGTGCGTGTGGGAAAATGGAAAAGTCCTGGGGAATATTGATGCACAGAGAGATCTGGGTGTTCAGGTCCATTGTACCCTGAAGGTGGCAAAGCAGGTCAATAGACTGGTCAAGAAGGCATGCGGCATGCTTTCATTCATCGGACAGGGTTGGCAGGTCATGTTACAGTTGTATAGGACTTTGGTTCAACCACATTTGGAATACTGCGTACAGTTCTGGTCGCCACATTCCCAAAAGGATGTGGATGCTTTGGAGAGGGTGCAGAGGAGGTTCACCAGGATGTTGCCTGGTATGGAGGGTGCTAGCTATGAAGAGAGGTTGAGTAGATTAGGATTATTTACATTAGAAAGACAGAGGTTGAGGGGGGACCTGATTGAGGTCTACAAAATCATGAGAGGTATAGACAGGGTGGATAGCAAGAAGCTTTTTCCCAGAGTGGGGGATTCAATTACTAGGGGTCACAATTTCAGGGTGAGAGGGGAAAAGTTTAAGGGAGATATGTGTGGAAAGTTCTTTACGCAGAGGGTGGTGCATGCCTGGAACGCGTTGCCAGCAGAAGTGGTAGAGGTGGGCACAATAGCGTCATTTAAGATGTATCTAGACAGATACATGAATGGGCAGGGAGCAGAGGGATACAGATCCTTGGAAAATAGGCGACAGGTTTAGATAGAGGATCTGGATCGGCGCAGGCTTGGAGGGCCGAAGGGCCTGTTCCTGTGCTGTAATTTTCTTTGTTCTTTCTTCTTTGGATGGCAGCACTGGTACTGTGAACTAACAAGAATGGCAAACAAAGGTTAGCTCATCCTCACTATCTGTCTGCCACAGATGCATCTATCCATGGCAGTATTGGGGACAGTGACCACTGCACAGTTTTTTTCACATATTCTCTGCTCTACCATTACCGTAAAGGCAGGGGATCAAGACATGCCAGGTGCAGCTTTAGGTACACCTAAAAATGAGGTTTTAACATGGTAAAATGACAAAAGCGGACTATTTGTGTGCCAAACAGCATAAGGAGCAAGTCATAGACAAATCTAAATAATTCCACAGTCAAGGGATCAGATCTAGGCTCTGCAGTCTTGTCATATCCAGTCATGAATGTTGGGGAACAATTAAACAACTCACTGGCTCCACAAATATCCCTGTCCTTAAGGACGAGGATGCTCGCACATTAGTGCAAGGCTGAGCACCCAGAACTGTGCTTTGGATGACACCCCACGATTACGGGGAGGTTGAACTTGGGAGGTCAGTCAGAAGTATATTAGGACAGTTGAGGCTAGAGGTAACCAAGGAATGGATGAGACTTGGGTGGAGTCGAGTCATGTTACCGAGGTGAAAATAGGCAGTCTTGGTGATGTTGGAAGCTCAGCTTAGTGTGAACTATTTCACTAGCATTGTGAACAGTCTTGTTCAGCTTCACACAGTTACCAGAGAGAAGGACGGAGTCAATGGTTAGGAAGTTTTCCCAATGTTTAATTGGAGGAAATTTCTACTCGTCCTTTACTGGATGTCAAACAAATCAGGACAGCATGTCATGTGGAAGGGGTTTTGGAGGTGTTAGTGTTTTACATAAACCTTCAACCCTGGATATTCATGATGGTGAAGGCTGAAGGTTTGGGAGATTCTGTCAAACTTCCGGTTGAGTTCTGCATTTGTTCAATCCCTTTACTTCACCTCCTTCTCCTTCTTCCCATTTTCTCTTTCTCTCTCCACTCCCATAGAGGCCAGAGTCCTGTGCAGGTCCAGACCAGGTGGCAGGTTCCATTCCCTGGGCAACAATAGTGAACCACTTGGATTTTCTGACAGACCAGTAGCTTTTGTTGACTTTTTGATTGTGCAGTTGGCAAATTCATTCAAATCACTTTAACAACCAACCTTGTGTTTTTTTGATAGGTCTTGCTCTCACTCCTTTTGTTTTATTTTTTTTAAAAATTACAGGGTATTAGAAGGAGAGAATTTGCAGTTGGGAAACTGACACCAACCATCACACCAGGATTTGATGTCATTTCCCACTTTATCGTAACCGGAATATCATCAGATTTTGAACATGGAAGGAGACAGCACTATTCACAGTGGAGAGAAACCATACTCGTGCCCTCAGCGTTTCAGCGATTCATCTGGACTGACACAACACAAGCGTAGTCACACCAAGGAGAAACCATGGAAGTGTGGGGAATGTGGGAAGGGATTCAGATCCCCATCTGAGCTGGAAACTCATCGACGCATTCACAGTTCGGAGAGACCATTCACCTGCCCTGATTGTGGGAAGGGATTCACTCGGTTAACTACGGTACTGACACACAAGCTGGTTCACACTGACGAGAGACCTTTTAAATGTCCAGAGTGTGGGAAGTGCTTTAAAAGTTCCGGGCAACTGCTGAGCCATCAACGTGTTCACACTGATGAGAGACCATTCAGATGTTCTCACTGTGGGACTGGTTTTAGGCGATCATCTAACCTCAGTATACACCAGCGAATTCACACGGGGGAGAGGCCATTCATCTGTTCCGAGTGTGGGAAGAGATTCACTCGGTTGTCTCACCTGCTGACACACAAGCGAGTTCACAAGTAAATGTTTACTGTTTGGATTTTGCTTCTAATCATAACCAGCACTGCACTATTACATTGGAGTCTGACATTCGTAACTCTAGTTCTCGTTGATTTGATTTTATTTTTGCTAAGTATTAGCAACCAGCTTTGTGTTCAACAGGCAATGTTTTTGTTCTTTTGTAATATCTCGAATATAAGTTTGTTCCTTTTGAACATCTGTCCCTCTCCCCTGTCCCATCCAGCCTCACCAATTGCACGGAGTTCATGGAGCTTTATTGTCACTAAGATTGAAACAACTTGTTTAGCTGCCTCTGCTGCTTCCCTCTCTTCCAGCAGCCCCTGAGGCCTTACTGTCTCTAAATCCAGCCTTGTCTGAACCCGCTACTTGCATCTTTCCCTCCTACATGTTGTCATACACTGCGTGTTATAAACCCCTCTTTATTGGCTGTCAGCTCTTCATTTCTTGTTTGCTTTTTCACCCCATTCCCCAAATTCTAAACCTTCTGAATTCGCCATGATTCTCAATGTGTACTTTCTAGTTGACACCTATCATAAGTACACTTCTTCTTCATTATCTCAATTTCTATCTCCTTTGTCATCCAAGGAGCCTTGAACTTGCTAGTCTTGCCTTCCCCATTTGAGGTAATATACCTCGCCTGTCCCCAGACCTTCTCTTTGAAGGGAGCCCACTGTTCAGATATAGTTTTTCCCACCAACCTCTCATTCCAGTCAATCCTGCCCAACTCCATCCTTGCCCCATTGAAGACCACTCTCCTCAATTGAATTTTTTTACTCTGGATTGATGCTTGTCCTTTTCCTGCATTATCCTTATGAGACAATGATCACTATCTCCTAAATGCTCTCCACTGACACTTCATCCACTTGGCCCACTTAATTTCCAAGAAGTAGGTCTGACAGTGCATCCTTTCTTGTTGAATGGACACACACCCCTATAGGAAGCTCTCCTGCATGCAATCAGGAAACCATGTTCCTCGCTGTCCCATACATTACCAGTATTCAGTCTATATTTGTGTAACTGAAGTCTCCCATTATAACTATTCTTTTTTGTTGGCACCTCTGTGTAATTTCCCTGCAGATATGTTCCTCTACGTTCTTTTCTCTATTTGTCTTTTATAAACTTTGCTTAGCAATGTCATTGTATCCTTTTTGTTGCTTGGCTTGAGCCAAATTGATTCTGTTCTTGAATCCTTGAGATGTCCTCTTTTCCCAGCATAGTTGGTGCTCCCCTCAGCCAATCGTTCCACCCTCTTCCTTTCCTTTCTTTTCGAAATAACTTGTAGCCAGAAATATTTAACACCCAGTCTCATCCATCCTTGAGCCAGGTCTCTGTTAACGCAACAATAGAATTGATAACGCTTTTCAATCCTTCAACGATATGTATAAGTAAAACTGTAATGATTTGTCAATTCCCTGGCTTTTATCCAATTGCATTGCTATGGTTCCTGATACATATTTTTTTCTTCTTAGTACATACAATTTAATGAATTTAGTTGAATGTTTAACTGAAAGTTTTTGAATTACAGGGTAGGCATTTTATGGTCTTTATCTGAGCCTTTTAAAATAACAATGACAGAATAACAGAAGTGCTTTGGCAGGGAAAGTTGCCATTCTCTTATGTTTTTCCAGTAACCTTGTGCATTTTTAAAAATTTTAAATATTCTCATCCAATGCCCCTTGCACACCAAAACCTAGATCATTAATACAGATCAAGAAAACCAAGGGAGCCAATACTGAAGCCTGGGGAAATCCATTACAAACCTTCCTCCAGCCTGAAAAATATCCAGTGACTATTACCTCTGTTCCCTATCTCTCAACCAACTTTGTATCCACATTGTTACTGTTTCTTTTATTCCATGACTTACAACATTTCTCTCCAGTCTGCTCTGTGGCACTGTATGGAATGCATTCACAGAATCCCTATTGTATGGAAACAGGCCCTTTGGCCCACAAAATCCACACCAACCCTCAGAGCATCCCACCCAAACCCATCCTCCTACCCTTTCCCTGTAACCCACCTACTCTACACATCCCCGAACACTATGGGCAATTTAGCATGGCCAATCCACCTAGCCTGCACATCTTTGGACTGTGGGGGGAAACCGGAGCACCCAGCAGAAAGCCACGCAGATACAGGGAGAATGTGCAATCTGCACACAGACAGTTGCCCGAGGCTGCAATCGAACCCATGTCCCTGGCGCTGTGAGGCAGCAGTGCAAACCACTGTGCTGCCTTCTGGGACAAAAAAGCTTCGAGCAAGTTAGTGACACATGACTTGCCCTTCATAAATATATGCTCGCTCATCGACCCACATTTTTGCATGTGAGTACCGATTCTAGCCCTAATTGTTGTTTCTAGCAGCTTCTCCACTACTAATATTAAACTGACTAGTCTGAAATTGCCGGGCTTGTCATTACAACCTTTTTAAAACAAGGAGAAGATGTTTGCGATTCTCCAGGTTTCTGAGACCAGGGAAGACATAAGATTATGGCCCGTGTCTCTGCAGTTTCCATCAGTATCTTACCTGGTTGCAATGCCTTGTCAAACTGAAATACCAGTATTCCAGTCAATATCTCGTCCTCATCAATTCTCAATCCTTGAGTTTTTTCCTGTATCACCATGACCTGGGAAATCTCTGCAATGTAACATTTCACACAGAGGGAAGGTATGTACTGTGTTATTATGTCAGGCTCAGGTGATTATCAATATCGTTGTGTCTTCATAATCCTTTGAAGATTGTGCAAAATGGGGGGACAGTTGGGAACTGCAGGCTTTCAAGTAAAGTTAGACTGTAGGGTCACAGTTGCCATCTTTATTTGGGGCAATATTTGGAATGACTGGGAGGAGCTTTCAGCTCATTGTTCAGAAAGGAGACAACTTGGCCATAAAGCTGCATTAGCCTTTCACAACCAATTTCTTATTGCTAAGGCAAATCCTGCTCTATGGATCCCATTACTCCATGGGACATCATCCCACATATGTCCAAAGGTCCGCGGTTCTGTTCAGTCACATGAAAACCCCGTGCAGAAACACACGGCCTTGAGTTGACATAATCCTCAAATTGAAGACGATTGACCATGGTGAGGGGCAATGTGCAGCAGGGAGCAGAAAGAGGGAATGTTATGAATTTCAATCCTGGGCCAACAGTGATGGATTTTGTAAACTTCTTTATAGAATGTTAAAAGAGAATAGGGATAGGGTGGGGGGGCTCGGGTCAGAGCGGGGATGTTCTTCAGAGTGTTGGTGTGGACTCAGTGGGCCAAATGGCCTGCTTCCACACTGTAGGGATTCTTTAAAAGAACTACTGATGGGAAACACAAACGAAACATTTATTATGAATGTAGAACAAAGAAGTCATATTAAACAAAGGTCAGCAAATTTGGACTCTACTCATTGCGATTTAGAAGAATGAGTGGTGATCTCATTGAAACATGTAGGATTCTCATGGTGCTTGACATGGGAAATGGTGAGAGGATGGTTTCCCGTTATGGCAGTGTCTATGACCAGGGGGCATAGTCTCATAATAAAGGGGCGTCAATTTAAGACTGAGATGAGGAGGAATTTATTCTCAGCAGGTTGTGTGTCTTTGGAATTTGCCACAGAGAGCTGTAGGGGCAGAGTCCTTGTATATATTTAAGGCTGAGATGGAAAGATTTTGATCAGAAGTGGAATCAAAGGTTATCTGGAAAATGCAGGCAAGTGGACGTGAGGATTTTTGGATCAGCCATGGTCCTATTGAATGGAGGAGCAGGCTCATAAGGCTAAACATCCTACTCCTGTTTCTTCTTTATATGGCCCTATGGGAAACATTCAGATTGTTTCAGAAGTGTATGTTTTCTTCCATTCATTTAAATTGTATGCTTTTAATACTACACTGTATTCCCTTTACAATGTCTCATGGCTCTGGGACTGGGGTAGCCCCTTTACTGTACTACTTAATCTATGTTCATCATTTGCTCTGTTTCACCTCTGCCTTTACTGATCACATCTCTGCCATTGTTTAACTTCCTCTGTCTCAAAATACTCGGTACATTTTACCTCTGTTTAGTATTTTACTTTTACTCCTGCCAATTGCATCTAAATGAGGTTTCCACTACTGTCCATGCACTGATCATGTGCTGCTGACTTACCAGCTTTATCTTCCCACAACACCTTTCACAGTCAGGTATTGTTTATCCTTTGCTATAGTCCATTTCTCTTCCCCTTCTGAGCTTACGTTGAACATCATAGTCTGCACCATAAATTCTGTACTTGGATGGCACCTTTTTTGTATTTGAGTGTTCCAAGTTATTTCAAAGCAGTGTTACAAAGGAACTTTTAACACTAGTCGTATAGGAGATATCCGGCGAGATGAACACTGGTTGTTCAGAGATAGAATTTAGCATGTATTATAAAGGAGGAAAGTGAGGCAAAGAACTTGAGAGGTTTAAGGAGGAAATTTTGGAATTCATTTTGGAAAGTCGAATTTGAATGCAGAATTCAGGGTTAATGGCAGAATTCTTGGCAGAGTGGAGGAACAGAGGGATCTTGGGGTCCATGTCCATAGACCCCTCAAAGTTCTACCCAAGTTGATAGGGTTGTAAAGAAGGCGTATGGTGTGTTGGCTTTCATTGGCAGGGGAATTGAGTTTAAGAGCCGCGACGTTATGCTGCAGCTCTATAAAACTCTGGTTAGACTACGCTTGGAATATTGTGTTCACTTCTGGTCACCTCATTATAGGAAAGATATGGAAGCTTTAGAGTGGTGCAGAGGAGATTTACCAGGATGCTGCCTGGACTGGAGGGCAGGTCTTATGAGGAAAGGTTGAGGGAGCGAGGGCTTTTTATCATTGGAGCGAAGAAGGACGAGAGGTGACTTGACAGAGGTGTACAAGATGATGAGAGGCATAGATAGAGTGGATAGTCAGAGACTTTTTCCCAGGGCGGAAGTGACTATTTCGAGGGGGCATAATTTTAAGGTGATTGGAGGAAGGTATAGGGGAGATGTCAAAGGTAGGTTCTTCACACAGAGAGTGGTGGGCATGTGGAATGCACTGCCGGCAGTGGTAGTGGAGTCAGATACTTTAGAGACTTTTAAGCAACTCTTGGATAGGTACATGGAGGATAGTAAAATGTAGGGTATGTAGGGTAGTTTGATCTTAGTAGGATAATAGGTCGGCACAACATCATGGGCCGAAGGGCCTGTACTGTTCTATGTTCTATGTTCTATGTTCTAAATGCAGAGGTGATGGCCTGGCGGTATTATCGTTGGCCTGTTAATCCAGAGACCATGGTAATGTTCTGGGGACCAGGGTTCAAATCCTGCCCTGGCAGTTGACAAGAATACCAACATTTATAGTGCGAGAGAGGAGTTTGCTGATTGGTAGAGGTGGAGCCAATTTGAAACCAGAGAAATTTAATTTAAATTGAATTCAATAAAAATCTGGAATTAAGAGTCTAATGATGTCCATGAATCCATTGTCAATTGTCGGGAAAACCCATCTGGTTCACTAATATCCTTTAGGGAAGGAAATCTGCAATCTTTACGTGGTCTGGACTACATGTGACTCTAGAACCGCAGCAACGTGGGTGACTGTTAACTGTCCACGAGGCAATTAGGAATCGGCAATAAATGATGCCCACATCTTCTGAATGAAGGTGTCAGTGCCAAAGGTGGAGAAGGTAAAATCAGCAATCCCCTGCAATGATGGAATTAGAGAAATGCAGATATCTTGCAGGGTTCTGAGGCTGGAGTAGATCACAAAGGCAAAGAGGAATCCCATGCAGGCATCATAGAATCCCTGCAGTGTGGAAACAGGCCCTTCGGCCCAACAGGTACACACCAACCCTCACAGCATCCCACCCAGACCCATCCCCCTATAACCCAACTAATCTACACAATCCCTGAATGCTACGGGCAATTTAGCATGGCCAATCCACCTAGCCTGCATATCTTTGGACTGTGGGAGGAAACTGGAGCAAGCCCACACAGACACGGGGAGAATGTGCAAACTCCACACAGACAGTCACCCGAGGGTAGAATCAAACCCGGGTCCCTGGTGCTGTGAGGCAGCAGTGCTAACCACTGAGCCACCGTGGCAATCTGAAATATAAATGAGTGTTTTATCGTTTTGGCACCGTAGCACAGAGTGATAAGGGAACAAGTCTTGCTACATGAGGCCAGGAGAGTTTTGCACTACCTCAAGATTACTTGGGGGTTGAATTTGCGAGAACAGCCAGGAGCATGTTAGGATATTTCAAATCTAGAAGTAACAAGGGAACGCATGAGAGTTTCAACAGGGAAGAGCTGCGACTAGGATGGAATCGGGTGATGCTACTGAGGGGGGAAATAGGCGATCTGTGTTGGTCATGGGGATATGTGGTTAGAAGCTCTTGAGTCATACAGTATGGAAACAGACCCTTTGGTCCATCTCGTCCATGCCAACCAGATATCCTAAACTGATCTAGTCCTGTTTGCCAGCATTTGGCCCATATCCCTTTAAACCCTTCCTATTCATGTCCCCACTCTATGGGTGAAATACTTCTCCATGGTAGTGAACAGTCTGGTTCAGACTTAGACAGTCACCTGAGGCAGGAATGGAGTCAGTGTTGGAGTTTGTAACAGGGACCGGAAAAAATGGCTTCAGTCTTCACAGTATTTTGCTGGAAGAAATTTCTGCATATCCAGTACTGGATGTCAGACGGACCCAGACGAACATCAGTGCCCCAGTTGGGTTTTTTTACAACAATTCAGCAGCTTTCATGGTCACTTTCTCCAAGTGTCACCCATTTTGAGATCCGTTCAGCTCAATTTCACAACCTGCTTCCACGTTTCTGTAGGTTCTCTCTCATTCCTCTTCATGTGTTTTAAATCAATTTCACAGGAATTCAGAATGAAAGGATTTCCAGTCAAAAAAACTCCAAGCCAGACATCACATCAGGATCTTACAGAGTCATCCAGCATATTGACACCTGAGCACCATCGGGTTTTGAACATGGAAGGATGGAGCGCTGTTCATGTGTTCTGTGTACGAACAAGGATTCAGACAACCATCTGGCTTCTCAGAACATGAAGACAGACAAAAGATTTACTCAGTTATCCCATTTGCTGAGACACCAGTGAGTTCATCCTGAGGATATGCCATTCACCTGCTCCGATTGTGGGAAAGGATCCATTCAGTTGTCCCACCGGCTGAGACAATGGCAAGGTCACTCTGGAGAGAGGCCATTCATCTGCTTGTGAATGTGGGAAGGTGTTCACTGCCTCATCCACTCTGAGGATGCACCAGTGTCTTCACACTGAGAACAGGCCACTCAAGTACTCTCACTGTGGGCCTGGGTTCAAGCACTAATCTAACCTCACTGTACACCAGAGAGACTGCACTAGGGATCGGCCATTCACCTGCTCTGTGTGTGGAAAGGGATTCACTTGGTCTTTCTACTTGCTGAGGTACCAGAGACCTCACAAGTACCTACAGTGATTATATGCCGTTCTTAATTGGTAGGGTTTATTATTCACAAGTATTAGATATTATGTATTAGATAGGTTGCCCTTAAATTTAATAAGGCACTAGGACAGGTTAAGATGCAGCTAAGGACTCAAAAAAAGTAAGAATTGAAATTGTGCAGAATGTGATCATAATGTTTCAATCTTAGTTACATTTGGGGTGGTGCCAAAAGACTGAAAAATTGAAAACATTATACTATGGTTTTAGGAAAAGATGCAAAGATAAAGCTTGCCGCTACAAACAGTCAGATTTATTTTGTTGGTTCAGGAAACATTTAAAAACAATAATCTGGGATGTCATTAATAGCAACATGAATAAAATAGGAAAAGTAGTATTAATTTCTTAAGGCAAAATCATGCTCCACTAACCTGCTGGAGTGCTTTGAAGAGGTAACAGTGTATTGGAGTGGGTGTTGATGAGTTGTGCATCGACTTCCGAAACAAACTTCAGTCATTGGCATACTGCAGGCTTTGTGAGCAAAGTCAGAAATCATGAAATGAAAGACACGGCAGCAACATGGAGACAGACAGTGACAGGAAGCAGAAAGTAGTGTTTCATGATGTTTTACAATTGGAGGAATGTTTTTAGTAGAGTTCTCCAGGGGTCAGTGTTGGTGCAGTTGCTTTTCTGCATATATACTGCCAGAACTGATTTGAAAAACTGTGATGCGTAGCGATTATTCGAAACACCATGTCTGCTGTGATCACGGGGCTAGACCAAACTTTCCAGAAGACGGGATTTAGTTAACATAGATGTCAGGTGTTGCATTGTGGTAAGACAGACCAGGATAGAGCTTACACAATAAATAGTACAGCCCTGGGGAGTGTTGCCAAACAAAAGAGACACAGGGGAGCAGATGCATAGTTCCTTGAAAATGGAGTCACAGGTAGACAGGATGGTGAGGAAGGCGTTTGGTACACTTGCCTTCATTGGTCATAACATTGAGTACAGGAATTGGGATGTCATATTGCAGTAGTACAGGACATTGATGAGACCACGATGGCTCAGTGATTAGCACTGCTGCCTCACAGCACCAGGAACCTGGGTTTGATCCACCGTCAGGCAACTGTCTGTGTGGAGTTTGCACATTCTCCCTGTGTCTCTGTGGGTTTCTTCCGGGTGCTCCAGTTTCCTCCCACAGTCCAAAGATGTGCAGGCTAGGTGGATTGGCCATGCTAAATTGCCCATAGTGTTCAGGGATGTATAGATTAGGTGGGTTATAGGAAGATGGGTCTGGGTGGGATGCTGTGAGTGTTGATGTGGACTTGTTGGACCAAAGGGCCTGTTTACACACTGTCGGGATTCTATGATCAGTGATCTATGACCAGTTTTGGAATACTGTGTGCAATTCTGGTCATCCTTCTATAAAAAGGATGTTGTTAAGCTTGAGAGGGTGCAGAAGAGATTTAAAGGATGTTGCTGGGACTGAAGGGTTGAGCTATAGGGAGAGGCTGAATAGGCTGGGGCTTTTTTTTCCCTGGAGCGTCGGAGACAGAGGGGTGACCTTACAAAGGTTTATAAAATCATGAGGGGCATGGATAGGGTGAAAAAACAAAGTCTTTTTCCGAGGATAGAGAAGTCCAAAACTAGAGGACATAGGTTTAAGGTGAGAGGAGAAAGATTTAAAAAGAACTTGATGGGTAATTTTTTCTCGCAGAGGGTGGTGCGTGTATGGAACAAGCAGCCAGAGGAAGTGGTGGAGGTAGTTACAATTGCGACATTTAAAAGGCATCTGGGTGGGTATATGAATAGGAAGGGTTTAAAGGGATATATGCCAAATGCAGGCAAATGGGACTAGGTCAGATTGGGATGTCTGGTCGGCGCAAATGAGTTGGATCGAAGTGTCTACTTCTGACTCTATGACTCTATAAATATTGTTAGAAGTCAAAGTTAGCTAGAAAATCTACACCTCAGGTGCCTTCTTATGGGACTGGAATGTTAAAGTACAGTGTTATAAATGCCACAAAGATGGATTTTCACCATGGAAACTAACAATAAAAAAGATGTGCAAGCTGGCCTTCTACTGAAAGAAGATTTTAATGGCTGCATTAAACCTCTGAGATGAACCATAGTTGTTCATTTGCAGTGCAAGCCTTTGCCTCAGTGTTCCCCTCCCACTACTACCCCTACCCCCCACCCCCCCCAACGCCCACCACCAAAAGAGAAGTCTTTCTCACAATACTCACACAGTACTGAGATCAACTGCCTTGTACAATTTTGAAACAGCTGTCACTTAATGCTTTAAACATTTACATTTGATATCAAAACCTCTAACTCCAAGCGATGTTGGTGAAGCCTCCGCCTGCAGAAATCAGAGGAAATCTGTATTTCAGCTTTCTGCAAGTGACCAGCATTCTTTCACCAAAACAGTGAATTAGAATGTGCATTTCAGCAATATTCCTTAGATGACTTTCGAGAGAATTTTAAATGGGAAGAAATTGATTGTGGTTGCCGAACTGCAGGCTAGCCAATTAATCACTCCCACAAAGGAATTCCAGACTGCTAACTCCAGCTTCACACTTTTGGACACAATCTTCAAGCACAGACATTTAGAAACTAAATTTGTTACAACTTGAATCATGTTTTTAATTCTTGTAGATTTTTGTTTCTTCTTGCATGTTTATGATTGTGCCGATGTTGCAAATAATAGCACCAGTATCTAAGAATATGTTAAATAAACCAGACTTCTAGATTAATTTTACAACAGTGTTGTTGCAATCTTTACAAAGTCAGACCCAACAAACAGGGGGAGAAAAAGAATTACAAGTAGTTTCATTGGCATTTTCCTACTGGAGATGTTAAACAGCTACAGATCCAGAATATTAAACTCCAGCCTAGCAACAGGGATCATTAACATCAGCAGATAGTAACACCCATGGCCCTGATCATTATCGCCAGGCCAGCTCCACAGAGGTGGGAAACTGCCTGGCTCCACAAATTTGTTCTTTAATTTCTGCCATCCGCTTTCCCCACTGTCAGATTGGAAGGGTTTGGAATCAATTGGATTTTAGGTATGTGACCCAGGAAGACCAGAGGAGATTGCCAGTTCCCGAGGAGATCTGGGGCAAGAGTCTGCCTTGGATTCCAGCACTGTGACCAAAAAGTAAAATCAATGAATAAAACAAACTTTCCTCTAGCCCCCACTGCGACACAGTCCCAATGCGCCATCCATGTCTCCCTATCCTGACCCCCATTGTCCCCAGACAACCTGGTGCCTACTTCCACTCAACAGCATTACCCCTTCACCTACCATGCTACCTTATCCTGTATCCACAAATACCTGTGCACACAGGAGAAAACAAAAGAAGTTCAACATTGCAGATGGCACTCTCTTGACTGGCACTTGTTGGTGTGTGTTAACATTTCTGAGACTTATTGGTGGGGCTTAACATGACTTGAAATATTTAAAGAGTTTTGACGGACTTGAAAGTTCTAAGCAGCAACACACACTAGTCTGCACGACTAAAAATCCTAAAGGGTACCTGAACGCCATCATCTCCCAACCCTTTCCTGAGACCATTACACAGGAGTACCTCAGCTTTCCGAGGGAAACTTTGGCTCTCCTGAAGAAACTTATTGACAACAGACTTGTTCTGAGCTGGTTTGCCCTGCATTTTCAGAGTTGTGCTCAATGGAGTTACCAATTCCAAATTTCATAGAGACATTTGACCATTGAAATAATAGCTGCCTCAGGGAACCTGCGATGCTTGGGTTTGAGTTGACTTGACTTCCATCTCACAGGAAAATGGAAGGTGCTGTATTTGATTTGGGAGGGGGGGGGGGGCGCGGTGGTGAAGGTCGGCTTGGGATTTCTGTCATATCGGAAAGGCTCTTGGACAAGGCGAAGGACTGAAGATGGCTTCAGTCCTGGAAGTGATCGATAGCAGCAGGAACAACAGAATCCAATGCATATCGTCACTGGTGAACTTGCTGCTGTCTTTGCAGATGGACAAGGTAGTGAATCTCTTCCAGCACGTGGAGCAGATGAATGGTCTCTTGCCATTGTAAACCCATTGTGGTGTCAGCAGCGTGCCTAACTGAGTGAATCCCTCCCACAGTTGGAGCAGATTCATGGCCTGTCCCCCGTGTGAATTTGCTGGTGTATAATGATGCTGTCTGAATGCCTAAAACTGTTTCCACACTGAGTGCAGTTTAAGGGTTTCTCATCCACGTGAACTCACTGATGTGTTAGAAGATGGGCTAATTGAGTGAATCCTTTCCGACACTTACGGCATTTAAAAGGTCTGTCCCCAGTTTGACCTCGCTGGTGTGTCAGTAAGTGGGGTAACTGAGTGAATTCCTTCCCACACTTCGAACATAGAACAGTACAGGCCCTTTGGCCAACGATGTTGTGCTGACCTATTATCCTACTAAGATCAATCTACCCTGCATACGCTACATTTTACTATCCTCCATGTCCCTATCCAAGAGTCGTTTAAAAGTCTCTAAAGTATCTGACTCCACTACCACTGCTGGCAGCACATTCCACACGCCCACCACTCTCTGTGTGAAGAACCTACCTCTGATATCTCCCATATACTTTCCTTCAATCGACTTGGAGCAGGTGAATGGCCTCTCCCTGGTGTGAATGCGTTGATGAGTTTCCAGCTTCAATGAGGAAATTAATCCTTTCCCACAGTCCCCACATGTCCACATATGGTGACTGCATTTGTGTTTTGACACATCAGATTATCGGCTGAACTCTTGTCCATGCACACATGTACAGTTTCTCCCACTGGGAATGGTACTGTTTCCTTCCATGGTCAAATTATGATATTCCGTGATATTCTGGGTACATGAAATTGGGCAACTCTGTCAGATACTGGTGCAATATTTGATTTTAGTTTCCTAACTGCAAATGCATCCCTTCTAATACCCTGTACAATTAAGTTAAAATAGAACCATAAGGAGTCAGGGAGAACCCTCAAAAGCAGGTTGTGAAGTTGAGCTGAAAGAATCCAGTAATTTAAGGGCTGGCACTGGGGAAAATAAATGACCATGAGAGTTGCTGAAGTATAATAAAAACCCAATTAGTTCACTAATGTCCCTCAGGCAGTGAAGATACCACATGGTCTGGACCTACACAAGGCATGGACCTCAAAGGAAGGATAGACAGAAACAGACAAGACAGATGGACAGACAGATGGGGAAAGAGAGGGGAAGAGGCAGGACATGAAGGAAATGAAAGACAGGCAATTTTTATACGAACAACTCAACCAGATTTTCAACAAAATCTGCCAGACTCCAACCAGGGTAGCAGGTGTAAGTGTATCACACATTGTCCTCAGAGATAGCAAGAACTGCTGATGCTGGAGTCTGAGATAACACAATGTGAAGCTGGAGGAACACAGCAGGCCAGGCAGCAACAGAGGAGCAGGGAAGCTGACGTTTTGGGTCGGGACCCTTCTTCAGACCCTTCTTCTCCCCCTCCCCCATTTCTGAAGAAGTGTCCCCACCTGAAATGTCAGTTTTCCTTTTCCTCTGATGCTGCCTGGCCTTCTGTCTTCATCCAGCTCCACACTGTGTTATCTCACATGTTGTCCTGATTTGTCTGACATCCAGTACTGGATGAACTGAAATTTCCTGATTTAAGTATTGGGAAGATTGAAGTTGTTGTCTCTCGTCTCCATTACAGATTCCACTCCCTCATGACTAATTCCATCCGTCTCTCTGGGAATTGTCTGGAGCTGAATCAGACTGTTTACAACCATTGTGAAATATTTCCCTCAAGCTGTGCTCCCACCCACATATCCCCATCATCACCCATTTCCACCTCAGTAACACCACCACAGTCCACTCTAGTCTCAGCTCATCTGCTGCTGAAACTCTCATTCATTTCTTTGTTACCTCTAAGCTTAACTTTCCTAACATGTTGCCAGCCAGCCATTCAAACTTCATTATCTTGAGGTCATCCAAACTCTGCTGCCCGTGGGCAGACTTACACCAATTTTTGTTCACCCATCACCATTCTATAAGTCTAATGGGATGGCAAGAGATCTGGTGAAATTAAACACAAGTGAAAATGTGACAATTTTCTAAATTGAAAAAAATATGTGCATGAAAAAAGGATAAGAAAGTGCAAAGGAAACAAATTGTAAAGTAAAGGAAGATTCCAGCTGATATCTTGTTTTATTATTTACCAAAGTTGCTTTATTGGAACAGTTATTGTCAAGGAGTTACATATACATATATTACACTAGTAGGGTGTGGTAACAATGTTGGGGCTGTACTACAGGCCTCCCAACAGCGAGCGTGAGATAGAGGTACAATTATGTAGACAGATTATGGAAAGATGTAGGAGCAACAGGGTGGTGGTGATGGGAGATTTTAATTTTCCTAACATTGACTGGGATTCACTTAGTGTTAGGGGTTTAGATGGAGCAGAATTTGTAAGGAGCATCCAGGACGGTTTTCTAGAGCAGTATGTAAATAGTCCAACTTGGGAAGGGGCCATACTGGACCTGGTGTTGGGGAATGAGCCCGGCCAGGTGGTTGAAGTTTCAGTAGGGGATTACTTTGGGAATAGTGATCATAATTCCGTAAGTTTTAGAATACTGATGGACAAAGACAAAAGTGGTCCTAAAGGAAGAGTGCTGAATTGGGGGAAGGCCAACTACAGCAAAATTCAACAGGAGCTGGGGAATATGGATTGGGAACAGCTGTTTGAGGGTAAATCCACATTTGATATGTGGGAGGCTTTTAAAGAGAGGTTGATTAGAGTGTAGGACAGACATGTCCCTGTGAAAATGAGGGAAAGAAAGGGCAAGATTAGGGAACCATGGATGACAGGTGAAATTGTGAGACTAGAAAAGAGGAAAAAGGAAGCGTACATAAGGTCTAGGCGACTAAAAACAGATGAAACTTTGGAAGAATATTGGGAATGTAGGACAAATCTGAAATGAGGAATTAAGAGGGCTAAAAGGGGTCATGAAATATCTTTAGCAAACAGGGTTAAGGAAAATCCCAAAGCCTTTTATTCATACATAAGGATCAAGAGGGTAACTCAAGAAAGGGTTGGCCCACTCAAGGACAAAGAAGGGAAGTTATGCGAGGAGTCAGAGAAAATGAGTGAGATTCTTAATGAGTACTTTGCGTCGGTATTCACCGAGGAGAGGGACATGACGGATGTTGAGGTTAGGGATAGATGTTTGATTACTCTAGGTCACGTCAGCATAAGGAGGGGGAAGTGTTTGGTATTTTAAAAGGCATTAGGGTGGACAAGTACCCAGGTCCGGATGGGATCTATTCCAGGTTACTGAGGGAAGCGAGAGAGGAAATAGCTGGGGCCTTAACAGATATCTTTGCAGCATCCTTGAGCACGGGTGAGGTCCCGGAGGACTGTAGAATTGCTAATGTTGTCCCCTTGTTTAAGAAGGGGAGCAAGGATAATCCAGGAAATTATAGACCGGTGAGCCTGACGTCAGTGGTGGGGAAGCTGCTGGAGAAGATACTGAGGGATAGGATCTATTTACATTTGGAAGAAAATGGGCTTATTAGTGATAGGCAGCATGGTTTTGTGCAGGGAAGGTCATGTCTTACCAACTTGATAGAATTCTTTGGGGAAGTGACAAAGTTGATAGATGAGGGAAGGGCTGTAGATATCATATACATGGTGTTTGATAAGGTTCCCCATGGTAGGCTGATGGAGAAAGTGAAGTCGCATGGGGTCCAGGGTGTACTAGCTAGATGGATAGAGAACTG